TATATTAGTATACAAATTATTATGTACATGTGTGCATAAATCTAATATGTCATTTTTTTGTAGGATGACACATTTGCATCTCAAGCATGTTTGTGGACTTGTCCCAATTACAAGATCTTTACAAAAATATTCGGGCTACATGGGGAAGGCGGAAACATATCAATAGTTTCTAGTGCTGCCTCCATTTCGATCACGTCTTCATATAGGCCTACTGTGGACTTGGTCACCATTGATGATTAATGTCATCAATAGATGTGAGATGTTTGTAACCAATATAATGATATTTCATATGGTGTAACGGGAATATGTCCGTCCAGTTTGCTTTATTTGGGAATGGACAAATTTTGTGTGTATCCCCGTATATCTAAATGTTAGAATGTTACAATGTCTTATAAGGTTAATGTTTTATTGCGCTTTATTATGATTATGAATTATGTTTTAGCAACATTCATGCTTTTTTTCATAAGTTAGGAAGAAAAAATAATCAAATATGAAAATCATAAAGACACAAGAAAATGTACGTATACAAACATGAGTTTGAATTAGTTTGATGAAGGAGTAAAATAGTCATTTATAGACAAATATGTTATCATAATAATGATATATCCGTCGAGATAACAAATATGGGTATGGACAAAATTGAATATTAAATCTTATTTTTGTAAAGTGGGATTTGGGTTTGGAAGGATTTGTACAAGCCAATCCAAACCCTTCTCAAAAAACCATCCAAACAGCCCCGTAAAGATTTCCTCTTTTCTTCCCTCATTCACAATTCTTCATAATTTTCTCAGTTATGGAGGTTGAGATGAAGTGAAAATATATACATAATAAAGCAAAATATATCCAAACACGCAAAATGGAAGGTTTTAACAACCGAAGTTAAGTAAGAACCTTTATTTAAAATTAGGGTTGATTTGAACTAAATAAGCCCATCTTAATTAATGTCTTCTAGTAGATCGAATGAGGTACTCTCTCTCTCTATCACACACAAGGGCGGAGCCACCTTATGCCCAGGGGCACACATGCCCACCCTCAAAATATTTTTCTTAAAGTTGTCTATATATATTTTAAGTATTTTTTTGATATTTTAAATTGTGCCCACCCTATTTTTTAGTCAAGGCTAGAAAAAAACATGATATATCTATCAGTTTACTTGTAATTTTGAAATTTATTTTAATAATTATTACAGACGTGATAGATAATACATTTGATTGCATAATCGAATGAATAATAAATAGTTAAGTGATAGTAAGATTGTAGATATAAAAACTAATAAAGTTAATGCAAGACTTTCAAAGTATGAAAATTCATCGTAATCAATTTTAAATGATTTTGATTAGCCTTTGTTTCGTAAAAAGATATAATTAGTCTTCTTTTTTTTTTGCCTTTTATATCTACCATGCTTACCAATTTTAGTCTTTTAACTTTAATGAACTTTTAAGTATTAAATAGGATGTAATTAAATTTAAATACATTATCCTATTTTTATCAATTGCAAAAAAAATAATATTAAGCTTGTTAAAATATGCAGTGCCCACCCCCAAAACAATTTTCTAACTCCGCCCCTGATCACACACACAAACTACACCCATCGAACTCAAGACCTTAACCACCATGATATGTCGTTGCTACCCTCACTCTCACACATGCACATACAAACAAAAAACACTTAATTTGCTTTAAACCAAATTTCCTATGGTATAAATGTGCTTATGCATATGGAGACATTTGCGCTACCATACACATAAAAACTTGAAGCGCATATGCTTCATCAAGGCTAGAATATTTTTATTTAATATGTATTGAATACGAATTCGACCATATTCAATTTGAATTCTTTCAAAATATTTTTTAATTTTAGATACGCAATTTCCGTATTTATTGACAACGTTACTTTTACGTGCAAGGGTTTACACCATCAAACCATTCCCACTAGGGATGCTGTGGTCACAACATTTTTAAGAAAATTCTTTTATATAGATATTTATTAAAAGGGCATCACAGCTGGGTTTAAATTCGAAATGTTAAATACATCGTATAGGGTCATTGGATATGTCGAGTATATGTGGCTACCTTAACGATGCGGCAAGGATTTGCTTGTCTATACGTGCAACCTATACGCGTCTATATATATATATATATATTTTCTTTTGTTTAACGGTTAGGAGTATCCGAGATAACTTACGTACAACTCAACTAATCCTCTCCCTGATCCTCGATGAGGGTATTTATTAAGGATAAATTTCTCGTGGCTTAGCCGCAAGAGTTTGTCAAGATTCAAACTCAAGACGTCTGAATTTACAGTTCGTCCTTGTTACTACTTGAACTACCTTGGAATTGGCATCAATATAATTTTAAAAAGGGTTAGTGAACTGTCTGTGAATTCATTAAACTTTACGGAATGAGACAATTTTTCATAAGATTTATCGATGACTATGTTGCAGAGATTAACAAGTCTCCCTCCTCTTTCTTTTACGCGGAGCAAAAGGCATCTTTGTTGGACGGGTGAAGCAAGCTTGATGTGTGTGTGTTGGGGTAAAATTCCATAATTTTACAAATATTAATTAACAACATAATTAAAACACAATATAACAAGAATTCAATCAAATATATAATACAATAACATGTTATTAGAATAGTACAAAATAAACAATAATAAATTAAAAAGAGCTGGTATGTGGTATTTGGGAGGTGTGTGATCACTGTTCTAAAGCAGTTACGTCTCCCCACATGAAGGTACTAACAGACATATGCAGCTCTAAGATCCAATCCAAATATGCACACAGTAGCACCTCCTCAGAGATCACATCTACTAGAAGGTTGAAGTGAACTTGATTCGAATCGAAGTTGACCAAAAATTTAATCGGAAGATATATCTACAACATATATATGGAAAAGTATACATACTACAAAAACATACTCCCATTACATCATATGAGCTCATTTTATATATGTTTGACAATGCTAGCCATTAGAGGCTTTTAAAGTCCACTATCTAGTAACCCCCACCACAAAAAGGCATTCAAATGTCCAATTAAAACAAAGTATAATTACTCATTTAAATCATATAAAATTGAATTAAATCCTAAATTAAAAGTGCTCCATTAAAATATATAAAATAAATTAAATGAGAAATTTTAAAGCTTTTATTTTTCAACAGTGTGTGTGTGTGTGTGAGAGAGAGAGAGAGAGAGCCTGCCAATGCTATTGTTGAGCATGAGGGTGGTTGTAAATCTGAAACCTATTGAAGCATAATAAAAACAACAGTAGAAAAGTAAAAATCGGGATTAATTGCATTAGAGATCCTCATAGTGTAAAGTTTGTCTTATTTTAATTCCTAATACTTTAATTGTATTATTTTAATCCTTGAAATATTAAATATGTTTCAATGTGGTTCCTTAATTAGACAACATCTAAATTACTAACGATTTTTTATTATAAACTTGTCACGTGATTGCTTGAATATGGGCAAAAAATAATTTGGGTAATTTTTGACTAAAAATGTGTAATATATATAACTCTTGACCAAATTTTGGATAACTCATGATCAAAATTGTATAATTTGCATAGCTCATTGACCAAAATTTGGGTAAAAATATGATCAAGAGTTATTCAAATTATTTTTTTGCCTATATTTAGGTATTATATGTCAAGTTTATAATAAAAAATCGTTATCAATCTGAACGTTGTCTATTTGAAAGATCACATAAAAATATATTCAATATTTCAGGTTCTAAAATGATGCAATTAAAATATTGTGGATCAAACTGAGACAACCCTATATTTTGAAGACCTCTAGTGCAATTTACCCTAAAAATTGAAGATGGAGATTTATAAACAATTTATCTACATAATAAAATAATCGTACTAAATTCAAATATTATCAAATGTATATAAATGAGTCTCGTATTAATACAGAGTGAGTATGTTTGTTTTGAGTATTGCTATGCATGAGATTAAAAAATGTATTCCTTACATTTTCAATATCAATGGAAATTAGTGTCGGTAATAGAAATTATTTTAATCTCCTCCCATGTTTGTTAATTTAATAAATACTATAGTAGACCCCACAAATAACTATATATTCTATCACATCTCATATAACAAATATACAATTTTACCCCTAATATCATCCATTTTATTACTCCGTTTGTGAAACGTTTTTCCACCGCATTAACATACAAAAGTAGAAGTTTGTTGAGGTCCATAAATTTGTAATTGTTAATGCATCCAATAAAACAAACATATAAAAGTTATTACAATCAAACAAAGGGCATTTTTCCCCTTTTTAAAAGCTCCCATAGGCAAAACCCAAACCAGTACATATGTAATTTGTAAAAAATGCACTGATTGTTAATGGGGAATATGAGTTTCTGGAGCTTTTATTGATGATCGACGCCACTCTACCAAGCTATTGTACCAAAATTTGTAGAAGAAGGGACAAAGAAGAGGAAAATTAGTTTGGAAAAATTATTTCATGGGGGTTGTAGATCTACGTTTGTTGGGGGGGGGGGGGATCTAGGTATTAGGGTTTGTTGGGTGATATAGGTATACGAAGTAGAAAATCGAAAATTTGCGTGTATAAAAAACCCTAGCACAGACCGATTGTAGAAAACAACAATCTTCGTCTTTGTCTTCGTCTTTTTCAATGAAGCCAAGCATAGAGATGTTATTTCACGGCTAAGGCTAAGTTTGAAGGGTAAAGCAATAAATTACTCACCTTATACCATTTGTGGCCAAAACCCATAAAATAGTACCACCTCCCAGGTGGTATTATATAAAGCTTTGTAGATGGGTTTCAATGAACCGTAGTTAGGGGCCGGTATTGTGATCCAAAAAATAATACTACACAAAAAAAAAAGGCAAACAAACAAGATATTACTAGATCTCATGTACTATTTTCCATAATCCCACCCTCTTATACTACCATTACCCTTCAAACAAACATGTCCAGTGTGTGTTGCATTGAAAGGTATTAAATCCCTACATTCAGTTCAATCTTACTCCTTAGGCCGAAGCTCAATGCCCTCGACAATGAGGCCAGTCTTCCAATTAAGCTGTTGGATCTCCTTCAATTGCATCTCCACTTCACCGTCATCTCCATGATCATTAAAAAACTGCCCGAGCTCAATCTCCATCCATTCATCCCCTCTCTTCTGCGGAAGCCGACCATTAGGCTGTCTTGCTGCACGCCTAAGCAACCCTCGTAAATGCTCAGGTCTATCTGTCGCCAATTTCAGGTGAACTGTATCGTTCGAATCTTCAGCCCCATCTTGGCTTTCCACAACAAATCTAACTGAAGCCTTTGCAGGCACTTTAAGGCCCCTTGAATTTTCTGCTAGTTTGAAGACAAGGTAAGCTGCATAAGTGGTCTTTGGGGACAACATCTGAGTTTTCATCTTGCCTCCAACAGCGAGCCAACACACAGCCAGGAGCTCAGCCACTTCAGAAAATCTGGACATGTAGAAATGTATGTACATCAGTCATCAATGCATACACAGATAAACAAATAGGTGGACAGGGAGAGAGACCTTGACTTAGGCAAAGACGTCCACTTCCAGTACTGTGGGCTATCTTTCCATGCAATTGAAAGCTCTCTTGCTCATAGCATATAACATTTTTTGCTGCTCCATTTATTTAGCGCGAAGCTCTGCTTATGAACAATTATAAAGATTGCATTATTAGAAAATAGGTAATATATAAGAAAAAGGTTCTGTTGGAAAAAATAAACATCATCATCTCATTTTGGGTTTTGCATTGCTCTATGACCGCAATGGAAAATTTCTACTGTTGTGAATGTTTACTCTTAAAGGACCTCTTGATCTTCAAAGAACTAGAGTAAGCACATCGTAATGACTGAAAATCATTAGACTAACTACAAACAGTTCAGCAGACATAGGTTCCTATTAGGAATCATGATCAAATATACAAGAAACAAAAGTCTCTCTATTATCTCGTGTCTCAAGCCAATTTGCATTTGCAATGTGCTCAACTAGGTTCAAATCCACCATCATAACTGGAAAAGATGCATTTCTTGATTCTCATAACAAACAACAGTGTATACCACATAGTGCATAAATCGCCTTAAACCACCAACCCTACCGGCCATCTGAATTCTGAAACACAAATAATAGCATGGCCTGCTTCGGCCTAAACCTAGGGGGGCCGGTTCTCTACCAAATTTATATTTTATCAAACTTTTGTCAACCTAAATCAACAATCTGCTCATTAGAATGCCACACCAGTGGGTTCCTATGGTCCTACGTACATTCACAGGGCACAACTAACATCACTTGCAAAATTATTTCCACAGTCACTGAACACCAGATATGAACTAATCGGATTTCTCGAATTCAGATTTTGTCAAATATTTGCCAATTTTAGTTAAGTTCAATCTTTCACCCCTAAATTCAGCCCCAGTAACAATCAATTAGCTTCAGGAATCAACCTCCTAAAAAGGGGTAGCGCTTCCGACCACTTATGCCTCCTAGACAGGAGCTTTGTGTACTGGCTACACTGTAACCCATTAAAACAGACTACCTTTTCAATTTCAAATTTTGTAATTTCAGTCTAATTCAATTGTCCACAGTTTAATTCATTGGAAAAAAACCCACAAGCATGGCACAATGAATACTCAACTTGATCATGGTTGCCAAATTTTGAAGTTGAATGATCCGAATCAATTACATTCCAATTCTTTATTCAATCCTTTTCCTTATACATATCATAGGAGAAAAGAAAGGTCCAAGGCCCATATCAATAATTATGATTTTACGTATGGACAATTCCTCAATATGGTTTATTCTATAAAATGAAATTTCAATATTATATTAAATAATAATCAAAATAAATAGATATGTCAACGCATCCGGAAAAACACGATTAATCTCTATCAATAGATATGCTAAAGATCCGAACCATAGAATACTTATTACCGGGCTCAACCCTAGACAGACAGTGAAAACTACCGAGCTGGAGTACAGTAAATTTCTTAGTAGCGTACTCAATCAAACTATGTTGATTTTTTTGTACGTGTTAGGGGTAGAAATCGAGCGTTCGGATCTCATCCCTGAACTCAAGGATTTCGGCTGACCTGGCATGTGCCAAAACGACTACCCAGTAGTCTTTACCTCTCAGTACCCTTGCGAAGTTTCGTCCCACATCGACTGAAAGTCGTCTCTCCCACCGCCTTATAAGCCTGAGCCCCTTAGAGATGGGTACCCATAGCGACCTGATCAGGATTACCTTTTGATGGGTACACACAACATAGACGCATAAACACACACACAGAGAGCAGTCCCACACACACACACAGACACAGACCACAGCAACACACACACACACACACACACTTGCACACAACAGCACACAAATCACGTAACACACAAAACACGCAGCACAACATCACACACAAATCTGGGTTTGGGTTTTTGAATTTGGGTTAATTTAGGTTTTTGAATGTTTGCGCTTAATTTGGGTATTTTTAATTTGGGTGTTTTTATAGTTACGAAGAAATATGTTTATTATGAAATTTTAATTTTTTTTTGAAGTTACAAATGTTAGGATGGATAGAATATATGTTGAGTTGATTATTGTTGAGTGTTCATTTTGTGGGAGGTTGACCCAATTAAAATTTGAGAATAAGTTTTCTATTAATAGTCCAATCCAAACCTAAATGCATGCATTTTTTATTCATTGGATCATCTTCGTTGGACTCGAAGCTTCTTTCAAGGCACTGCCCGGCGCTGTAAGTTTACACTTTTAACATGTTTAATTTGTTTTTTGTGATTTGGTAATTTTGAGTTCTATTTTTTCTTTAGTTTTGAAGCGATTCCGTAATTTCTTTGAAGCAAGAAGCAAAGGACTCGCTCATCATCATATGTGGTAGATTATAATTTTGTTCACCTTTTTTTTTTAATGTCATTTTTATGAATAATGTCTAGGTTATTCGTTTTTTGTGAACAAAATTTCATTCAAGTCATCTGTGTGTGATGCAATAACAAAGCTAAAATTTACCATTGTGTTTGGGTTTGGGTGATATATGGTTTAGTTTGAAAGGTGGCAGAATTAATATTTTTTGTTGCATACTAGATGATTGAGAAAATGAAAGATGTCTTGGGGGTTAATTTGCTTAGATTTAAACTGATGTGATAAGTTCTTTTTTTAGTTTGTTTCCATGCTCATTATATTAATTATGTCAAATGATTTTTTTTTTAAAAATTTCGTGGGAATAGATATATCATACTTGAAATGCTTTAACCTATACTTAAAGTTTAGCTCTTTTCCATAGCTCGCTCCATGTGGAAGACTATGAGAGATTTGAGGTAAGGTGGGATAGGTCAAAGATTCAAGTTCTTCCCTATCTCCTCTCTCTTCATGCTTTTTATTTTGCTGTGTAATCCTTTGATCTTTCATTCCAGTCTCTAGTTGATTTTAGCTTCTTACTCAAGTTTTTTATGAACCAATTGATACGTCCTTATTAGGCAGATAGTAGGAGCCAATTGCCCAAATACAAAATGGCTAACGGAGGATTTTGACTTGGGAAGGTAAATAGCCCAACATTATTTTTGGAGAGCTGTTTTAGCATGTTTACTTTACCGAAGTATATGAAATTACTTCAGATTTTTTGGTTTAAACCTGCATAACTTTATTTTTATTTTAGGGGCATATCTGGAATGATCTAATTATTCTTCGGGGAATCCAATTTGTCCATTCTCCTTAGCTTTTTAGTTTCTTAATTGGAGCTTAATGGCCTTTGGTATTGAGAATAAAAGTGATAGAATTTGTGGGTCTGTGTTGTGACATCTCATTTCCTGTTGGTTAGTATTCTATTTTTTGCTTCCCATAGTTCCATTGGTCTTTATATTTTTGGTTATTCATATTTTTAGTAATTCTAATTGGCACACGACACTCACATACTATGCACACACAAAACACTTGAGAACTCGCACTTGAACTTTTGTATTGATTTTGGTTGTTCTTATGGTTTGGTGGAGATGAGGACTACATGACCGGTAGCCATCAACAGTGTAGAAGTTGGCAATGTCAATATTAATGTTGTTCATTTGGTAATTAATTTCTTTTCTATTTGCTGTAGATATGATTTTTTATAAAACAATCAAGTGTATGTGAAATATTGGATATCTTGATCAATTAGGTTATTGTCGGTGTGTTATTTTTTGAATTGAATTCTTATGAATGGTAGATACTTTTACTGGAATGTTGAAGACTAATATTGCCTAGAAGCTCTAGGACTATAATTTTCTATTATTTTTACTTACAATTCTATCCATACATTTTTTTATGGGTAATGGTGGCTATATGACCATGGTAAGGGTAAATAGAATTGAAGTTGAGATAGATGACTTTTTTTTGTGGGTTTGAATTTGGTAGCCTTTATTTGGTTTGGACGAGTTGTTATGCAATAAATGTTGGATTTTTTTATAGTATGTTGTAGTTTTCAAACTTATATTATGATATCGGGAAATGTTTGCATGTGGTATGTTTGGGTGTGGAATGTTGGTGGTTATTTTGGTGATTAGGTATGGAATGTTAATTTTAGGGGAAATAGAATTAAATTGTGATTATGCATTATGATAATTATTATATATGATTGTGAGTTTTGTAGATTAGACAGTTTGAGATTTTCCTGGACTCCTATTTTTAGAGGAAACTATGCCAAATTTTTTTGAAAAAATAGTGGGGACAAGATTAATTTTAATTTCTTTAATTAAATCAAATGAAAGAAAGACTATTTCAAATTGACAGGTTTTTTTTAGATTGCAAAGTGCCGTTAGACACAGGTTATTACTCTTTAATGCTACAATCCATTTACACGTAAAAATTGTAACTATCAATGACTTGGAAAAACTAATTAGCTCAAGTTTGAAGTCCACTTGAAATCTCATTGACATCTATGTAAATCACTATATATAATTATTTTTGGATTGAGTTATCTTAGCAACTGAAAAGTAGATTCTTGATTTGTTGTCTTGCGGTTTTGTTTTTATGGGTGTGTTTGTTTGTTGTGGATTTTGTCATATACATTTGTTTAAGAGGAAACTTTTTTTTTGGTTTAAAATGAAACCTTAATAAAGAAAAGAAATTTAAAACATGTATGAATTTTTTAAGGAATGTCTATGATGGACGATTATTATATTTTTCCTTGTTTTTATATAGGTACTTGCGTGGATTTGAGGCTTTTAATTGAGAGTTGAATTTGATGGAAATTTTGAAAGACAAACAAGTGAACTTTCTTTTGTATGCTCAAAATCTATCAGCCCCTTCATTTCTCTGTTTTTCATGTATAGGTGACATGGATTTCATGTCTCTCTTTTTTTTTGTGGGTTTGAATTTGATAACTTTTATTTGGGTTGGATGAGTTTTTTATGCAATAAATGTTATGTTTTGTTGTAGTATGTTGTGGCTTTCAAGCTTTTTTTATGATGTAGGAAAATGTGTCATGTGATATGTTTGAGTATGAAATGTTGATAGTTGTTTTGGTGGTTGGGTATGGATGCTTATTTTGGGGGGAAATGGAATTGAATTGTGATTGTGAATTTTGTAGATAGGTTGAGATTTCTTTGGGCTCTTATTTTTAGAAGAAACTTTACTGAATTTTTTGAAATATATTAAGGACTAGATTGATTTCAATTTCTTTAATTAAAACAAATGAAGAAAAAACTAATTCAAATTGACAAGTTGTTTTAAGTTACAAAGTGTCTTTAGACAAGGGTTATTACTAGTATATATATATATATATATATATATATATATACGTTTTTATATATACATGTATAAATATATGTATATATATATACTCATATCTGAAGATCCAAAATTGTTCTCCTTGTTTCTAAAATTTTCAAAAAAAACTCTAAAAACAAGTTACATTTGTTTTATGTTTCTTTAACTTAAATCTCATTTCTTTCTCAAAATTTAGAGAACAAAAATGCTAAACAAATAAATTTTGGGTGTTTTTAAAATTTTGAGAATAAAAAATTGTTTCTGAGATGATAACTAAACATGGCCCCAATCTTCTCTTTCTTAAAATCCATCTCCCTCATAAAACATTTCATACTTGGAAAAGTGAATTTCACCACAGGATAAGATTTAGTGGGCTTGGAAGGGGGAGGTTATCCTCCACTTACACTTCTCCTTTTCCCCTCTTTATTTTTCTTTTAATACATTAGCCCCAGTGAGAATTTAACACAGATGGTTACTATTCAAACAAGGCAAGTTGTGACTCAGATAGGGAAATAAAACTAAATTTTCAGGATTGTTACCAAATTTTTTAGTATCAATCTCAAATTTTTTAATCTCATTTATTTTATTGGAAGGTGAGTCTGGCTATTTAATAACATCGTTTTTATTAAATTACTAATAATTGTCCGTGCCTGAAGGCACGAAATAACAAAAACCTGAATTAAAACTTGAATAATACAATTGTGCCTAAAGGCACTTTGCAACCTAAAATAAACCATCAATTTGAAATAATTTTTACATCATTTGCTTCAATTAAATTAATTGAAAACAATCTAATCCCCACTAATTTTTCAGAAAAGATTTTAATATGTCTACAAAACTCACAATCATACATAATAATTATAATAATGTCTCATAACAACCCCAATTCAGTTCTATTTCCACCACAATCATCATACATCACAATAAAATTCTATACCCAACCATCAATTCACATCAAAACCAAACATATCATCATAATCATGTGTAATTAGTTCACCATACTAAACACAGAATAAACAAAACACATGCAAACTACACACAAAAAACTCACACGTGCACAACGACGTAAAGAACTTCCTTCAACATCCCCTTCTTTGGAGCTAGGAATTACCACCACACAAATGTTTGAGTGGAATGAAATTTAACCCGTATCTGAAAGTAGGATGTAATTCAAAAAAAGTGAACATTGATCTTGAACACATGAAAGAAGAAAAATAAATACCGTACATCATCATTGATTCTCAATCTAGTTTGTCGATCGTAAACATCAAGGAGAGCATGCACAAATTCATGTGTGAGTAGTGGCATCTAAGTATTTCTAAGTTCTAACTTATTTAATTTAGATTGTGTCTTATTATTATAGAGAGCGATAAACTATGCCTAAAGGTATCATACAATTCATAAAAAAAATCGAACATTGATTGTGGACTCAACAAAAATCAAACACTGAACAGAAAATTTGAAACATATGGTCTTTTGCTTTTCTCGTCAATTGGAATCAACATTATTATCCAAAAAAACAGTAACGAAGAACACACACATATCTGCATCGGGCGAGGAGGATTATATATGCAATCAACTTCTATCCAACATGAAAATGTCAACCATATTACATGTATCATTCAATATTCAATGAAAACCTAATCCTAGCTTTGTTTTCTGATATTAAACAGCTATGTTCATTGTTACAATGACCGCCAACCACCCTCAATTCAATAAAGTCCTACATTAGCCTATGAAATCTAAATGTTGGATGAACTCTAAAGTCCTACATTGACCAATGACTGGATGTACAACAAATCATCTGCATTCAAACAAAAAAAAGTAAAAAAAAAAACTTATGCTCAATAGATATAGAGCATCCAAAGTTTCAAACGAACTGGATGAAAACTTCTAAACACAAATATTACCTCTCAAACTGGATGCTATGCTAACTCCTGTTGTGCCTTTGACCCAAAGATTTCCACATTAACCAAATAAACAAAAATCCAACACCTAGAGCATACACAAAAAAATATGGCAGTGGCACCATTACCCCAATCTTCAAGTTAATTCACATAAAACCAATCTCTTCGGCAACCAATCCCTCCAACAAACTAATAAATATATAGTCAAATCGGTGTACTGAGAAATAAAAGTTGTTGAAAAAAGAATCTTACAACTTTGACAACCACGATCTCAAACATATTAATGTGAGTAGCTGAAAAAGGTCAATACATTAGCACAATTAGAGAAATTTAATTAAAAAGAACAAAATTTGAGTAAAAATAGAGAAACCGGAAGATAGATTTCAATGTTAAAAATAAAGAAAAAATTTGTCAAATAACACAGATTGTGTTCAAAGTGTAGTGATTTAGAAAATTTAAAAATTAATGTTGTTCATGTTTGAAATTTACTTTCCTAGAATTAAACGACAACAAATTAGAAAAAAAAATTGGGGTTGTATGGTGATGTGTGTGTTTTTGATTGTGTCTGTGGGAGTAGAGAGAGAGAGAGAGAACTTTCTCAATTACTCCAACTTGATGTTCATATAATGATTTCCAGCTTGGAGAAGCTCCTATGCTACTCAGATCTACAATAACCTATAAGTAACATTCCTATTAATCACTGAAGTATATTTTGAGTCAATCAAAACATACCTGAAAAGCATCTAAGTGTAATACTAAACGTATAAAATTAGCACTGTCAGGCCATAGAACTCTTTTGAGACATTTTCATATTTTAAAATGTTTGCCTATGCTAAGATTAGTTTTCAAAACTATTTGTCTTGACATATGAAAAGTGCCATATTTTCTCCTAATATAACTTGGAAAACAGAAAATTAGGCTCTGTTAATGCACACATGAATTAAGCAAGGCCACCTATTACGAAATTCAAAATTATGAAATTCATCTAATAGAGAAATGGAATTGAACTCAAACCAAAACCATTCAGATGTGTTGTAGGTGTTGGGTGTACATATAGCATGTGAGAAATGAGTAAGCCAATATGAGAAAACACCCAAATTAACACCCAAAAATATCAAACCAGTGCAAAACACCCAAAATATTAAGGAAACTTTGGAGGTCGGTCCCCCTATATGGACTTATTTGGACTTAAATCCGCCAAGAAAACTTATTTCTTTCTCATATCTATCTATATCTACATATAAGTTAGGGCTATATCTCTCTCTCATAGATAGTAACATTAAAAATAAAAAATAGTAACATTCAAATTAAAAAAAAAATTCATTTAAACACAAAATAACATCATTTAAACACAAAAAAAAATAATAACATTTTAACATAAAAAAATAGTAACATTAAATATTAATATTATAAAAAAAAAACAATAGTAACAAGGTTAACAAAAATAGTAACATGTTCAACAAAAATAGTAACATGCTCAACAAAAAAAAAATAGCAATATGAAACATTGAACAAAATTGAAAATTAAAATAGTAGCATTCAAATATTGTCAACCGTATATAAAATTAATACACAGTAGTGTGTGTTGCATCAAAGCATATTAAATCCGTACATATCTTTTCAATTCAATCTTTACTCCTTAGGCCAAAGCTCAATGCCCTTGACAATGAGACCGCTCTTCCCGAGATGCTCTTGGGTCTCCTTCAATTGCATCTCCACTTCACTATCATCTCCGTGATCATTAAAAAACTGCCCGAGTTCAATCTCCATCCACCCATCCCCTCTCTTCTGCGGAAACCGACCATTAGGTTGTCTATCTTTCGCCAATTTCAGGTAAACTGTATCGTCCGAATTTTCAGCCCTATCTTGGATTTCTGCAACAAATCTAACTGAAGCCTTTACAGGCACTTCAAGGCCACGGTTATTTTTTGCTAGTTTGAAGACAAGGTAAACTGCATAGGTAGTCTTTGGGGATAACATTTGAGTTTTCATCTTGCCACCAATATCAAGCCACGTCACGCCCAGGAGCTCAGCCACCACAGAAAATCTGGACATTTAGAAATGTATGTACATCAGTCATCAATGCATATACATATAAACAAATAGGTGGACGGGGAGAGAGACCTCGACTCAGGCAAAGACGTCCACTTCCAGTACTCTGAGCTACCTCCCCACACAATTGAAAGTTCTATTGCTCGTAGCATATAACATTTTTTGCCGCTACATTTATTTAGCACGAAGCTCTGCTTATGAACAATCATAAAGATTGCATTATTAGAAAACAGGCAATAAATAAGAAATAAGTTCAGTTGGAAAAAATAAACATCATCATCTCATTTTGGGTTTTGCATTGCTCTATGACCTCAATAGAATGGAAAATTTCTACCATGTGACAGTTTACTCTTAAAGGACCTCTTGATCTTCAAAGAACTAGAGTAAGCACATCGTAACGACTGAAAATCATTAGATTAACTACAAACAGTTCAGTAGATATAGGATCCCATTAGGAATCATAATCAAATATACAAGAAACAAAAGTCTGTCTATTAAGTCATGTCTCAAGCCAATTTGCATTTGCAATGTGCTCAACTAGGTTCAAATCCACCATCATAACTGGAAAAGATGCATTTTTTGATTCTCATAACAAACAACAGTGTATACCACATAGTGCATAAATCGCCTTGAACCACCAACCCAACCGGCCATCTAAAACACAAATAATAGCTTGGCCTGCTTCGGCCTAAACCTAGGGGGTCCGGTTCTCTACCAAATTTATATTTTATCAAACTTTAGTCAACCTAAATCAACAATCTGCTTATTAGAATGCCACACCAGCGGGTTCCTATGGTCCTACAGATATTCACGGGGAACAACGAACATCACTTGCAAAATTATTTCCAGTCACTGAACACCAGATATGATCTGATCGGATTTCTCGAATTCAGATTTTGTCAAATATTTGCCAATTTTAGTTAAGTTCAATCTTCCACCCCTAAATTCAGCCCCATTAACAATCAATTAGCTTCGAGAATCAACCTCCTAAAAAGGGGTAAGGCTTCCGACCACTTATGCCTCCTAGGTGGGAGCTTTGTTTACCGGCTACAGTGTAACCCATTGAAACTCGCTATCTTTTCAATTTCAAATTTTGTTAATTTCAGTCTAATTCAATTGTCCACAGTTGAATTCATTGGAAAAAAACCCACAAGCGCGGCACAATAAATACTCAACTTGATCATTGTTGCCAAATTTTGAAGTTGAAATGATCCGAATCAATTACATTCCAATTCCTTTCTCGATAGTTGATTTTTTTGTTCCGATAGGGATCCATGGGATCCCATAAAAATCAACCCTAACTCAAGTGGTAACGAGCTATAAATTTAGTCGTACTCAATTCAAATATTGACAACCCATCGGGCCAGACCATCCACATAAAAACCCATAGAAATCTACAAACAGGGCACAATGAATAACGACTTGATCAAAGTTACCAAATTTCGAAATTGAGAGGATCCGAATCCTGATCCATTATATCCCCCTGCACACAAACGCAAGCAAACTTGCGCACACAGAGAAAATTTTACCAGCACAAATCCAGAGAATTCAATTAGCAAGTTGAAAAAAATATAGTAGAAGAGTGATCGAATTACTTACCAGCTTGCCTTCATCAAGGAGGATAGGAGAGTTGCAGAGGAGAAAGTAGAGTTCCTTTTTGGTGGAGTAAACCACCGGAGAGACGGACCTCGATATGATCTCCGGATAATCGGACGGCAGGAACTTCTCCCAAACGATGTCGGACTCGGCTGCCGACTTGAACGTCGATGAGATCGCCGCCACTCTGCAAGCATCCCTCGGTGATGTAAATGATGTGATGTATGATATACAACCTTCCGGCAAAGACGAGAAACACGACATTCTCTCTCTCTCTCACGTTAAAATGGAAACGGTGGACTGTGGACTCCTATCTGGGGTGGACTGTTACAAACTTATATACAGGGAGTCGAAACTCAAAAGAGCCAAAACCGTTAGGATAAATTCCATTTTGCCCTAGTAAGATATTAAAATTTTCAATTTACCCTTGAATAATTAATTTTTTTATATTGCTCCCTAAAAAAATAAAAATATTACAATGTGACCATATCTTATTTCTACTTAATCGTTCGTTTGTTTTGTAATTCTTAATTAATTGATTTGGTACAAAATAGACTACCAAACGAATATCTTTCATTGGCAAAATGAGATATACCCAAACCATTATTGGCCCTGATTTATGCAAATCATTTCAATTTTAATTTAATAAAGTTTTTGACTTTTTCAATTTGGTATTCATACATACCTCAATTCTAATTTTTGCAAATGTATGCATGTCATGTGAGGTTTTAAAAGAGTGTGAATAAATTCTAAATGAAATCATTTTTTTGTGGCAAACAATGAAGACACGTTGAACATGTGTAAATACTTTTTTGAAATTTCGTGGAAGTGAAACCGAAGATTTATCAATTCCCCCATTTTCTGGACTGAGGAACTTAGCTTTGAAAGTCCAAAGCCTTTTTTTTCCAAAGTCCACAAAGAAGTAAGGAGGTTTTTCTCAAACCCAGTCCGAAAACTTATTTTCATAATCCAATTACTTTTAAACATAATTCTCAAATTTAATCATGTTTTAAAAACGTCATTTGCAATGACGTATTCTCCCTAAAAACGTTATTTGTAATAACAATTTGAACATGAAATTTTTTTATCCTAAAACGTCGTTAATAATCACGTTTTTAAAATCGTCACTTATAATGACGTTTTGTAACAAGAATTTTTAAACGGAACTAACAGACGTTTGAGGAACTAACAAACGTTTAAAAAAATAAAGGGTGTAAAACGTTATTTGCACGTCTCATTGCAAACGTCATTTTCAATAAATCATAAAGGTCAGTAAGTCTCATTGCAAACGTCATTTCCAATTAAATTAGCGGGTGCCCATAAAAAAATCTCCAGATAAAATTCAATTGAAATTTGGAATACAAGTCTCACATAACAAATTTCGAAGGTTATTTAATAACATTGTTCTTATTAAATTGTAATTTAACTTTATTGGATTCTAACTTTTGTCATTATAGTTTATTTTTTCATTTCTTTCTTACCAAAATATCAAAGTTTCCATATGAATTTTCATTATAGTTAATTAGAAAGACTTTGTCATGTACCACTAAAATTTTGAACTCCATTACTTGGTCGGCCAATTAGGGGTGTCAACTCTGACTTGTTGATACTAATCTGACACGAACGATTATAAAATTGACACGATTATTAAATACACATGATAAATAGTCTAGACTACTATTTAATACTCAGAACACACTGAATAGATTTTTTTTTCTGTTGGTCTCGACACGAATAATAATAATATGATACAAATAACACGACATATAGATCACGTAAACACTACACATTCCACACCCCTACCACCAGCTATACTCACCTTTATTAATAAAGGATTTCCAGCCAGCAGCCACGTTAGAAAGCTGAAGAGAGATGGAAAGACCTACTGCCTTTTCTAGGCATGTGGGGCTCTGTTTTTTTCATTTAAGCCAAAGGCATTGAAATGCCTCAATTCACTCTTCTTTTTCTTTTTGAATCGAGATTTTTTTTTACTCATTTATAATATATTTGTATAAAATAGAAATTAATTTTATGTTAATTTAAAATTAACATAAAATAGAAATTAACTCTATTTACTATAAAAAAAATATACAAAAAATGTTAAATAGACTTTAAAAAATAATAAATAGACTTAAAAAATTGACTTAAAAATTTAACTTGATAATTCACTACCATTAAATAGATAATAGGTTCTAATAAATATTGAGATTTATAATTAAATAATGATAAATATAACAAGCACACCATCAAGTCAAATTTAACTCGCTTAACGCTCTAGGTGATCTAGGTCTCAACATATATTATTGATTAAATATTTTATTTTGTTATTATAAAAAAAATTTCCCATATAGTAATCTTTTAGCTCCACTCTTCAAGGAGTTTGCGAGATGGATGATGGGGAGAAAGTTGGAGGGTGAAAGTATGTGTATTTGTAGTGAGTATCTACGTATGTCAACATGTGGAGAGAGAGAGAGAGAGGGGTTGAAGAAGAAAACGCATGTCTTCTGATAGGAATATAATTTTCTTTTTTTGGCACAAAAAATGAATATGCAGATAGATTACTCCAAATATTTACGAGTAAACATTATCATCCAACACCACACAGCTATCTATAGGGGACCTCACCGCCAGGGGCGGAGCTACACTTACTTCAATTTTTTTGTCCAAATATTTTTTTATATAAATTTTAATATATTCTAAATTTGTCCTCACAAAATTCTCATACATTTTAATTTATTTAATAATTTCTAACATTAAGACTAAATTTCTTTACTCGATTACTGATTATTTAGTTGAATATCTCAACATGTGTTCAAAAAATTTTGGAACTTTTCATTCTATCTCCGGTATCAAGCCCCCTTACTCTCACCTTTGTAAATTTTGATACATTGAATGATAACATTATTATGCATTATTTTTATAATATAAAACTTAGTCAATAAAATGACAAAGATAAAATATACGTTGATCCTTTATGACTTGAATGTCAAGGATTCAAGCCGCAAAAAAATACGTACATCTTACTCCAGACTTTGTAATAACAAAAGTCACACATTGGACTACCTCATTTAATTTATTATTACTTCAAAATTTTAAATTTTACTTTGGTTAAAAAAATGTTGCTAATGTATAATTGAAAGACCTAATTTGATAATATAATGCATTGTTATTGTTGAATTAGTATAGAATATCAAACAGTAGTAATGCATTAACTTTTCTAATTTAGTGCATAGAGTATTGTTGTTGCTAAAATTTTTGCCCCCACTGCCCCAAATTGTTGGCTCCGCCCCTGCTCACCGCACCTACGTCGGAGCCGAAGTTAAAGTCCTACCGTATGTTTTTAGCGCTGAAGATTAGGTTTAGCTCCAATGAGCTGTCATAACTATAGAGATTTGAACTCAAACATTAAGCCAAAAAATCTGAATTCTTACCTATTAGACCAAATGCTCGTTGAAATAAGAATATAAATATTGAAGAATAAGTTAGGTTGGACTGATTTTACATAAGTATTTATATAACGATAACTATACGGATTTCATATGTTATGTGATTGTCCTTTACTTTGTGTACATGAAAAATGTTATTTGGACCTAAGCAATACTATAGGAACTTGACCTGGGTATTTAATCTGGGACCTAATTCAATCCATCTATTAGGTTAGTTATAAATTCCAATGTTAAGTAAAACTCACTTTCAATTCAATGACTGCATCGAATTAAGTCCAAAAAATATTTTCGTTTGAATCTAATTTAGGGACTTAATCTATCGGACCTAAACATTTACTATTGTCAGATTGCAAGTGGGCTATATATAGTCTTAGAACTCATGAGTAATCGAATGGTTACGATGAATTAGATTCTCAAATTAACTCCTTATAGGATTGCTGTTTGTACATTATAGCTATTGTAGGCATTCAATTCTTCACTTTTTTGGTAGAAAAAAAATCATATTGTTTTCATATTTTTATTTATTCTAAATAATTTGAAATTTAGAGTGGACATGCCACCTAGGCCTATGTTATAAGATTGGCCCAAGAGCTGGGCTGGGAATACGTATGTTATAAGATTGGCCCAAGATCTGGGCTGGGAATAAGGTAAAAGTGGCCCAAATTTGGACATGGACCAATTTAAAAGTGTGTAATAGAATGGCCCGGCCTAAATCTGGCCCAGCCCTAAATCCATTATCACTTTTAATAGTAAAGGTGCTTTATAATTTATACCCTTAAAGTAGGCATACAATTTATATTTGGTCCATAAAGTTTTAATTAATACAATTACATCCTTGAAGTTTTATTTGAGTTTCAATTCAGTCCTTCCATCCAAATCTATTAATTTATTCCGATAGAAATATGGCACAGAACTTGCCCACAAGGCTATATTTGCCCAACAATCTTTTTTTTTTTCCAGTTTGTTATCTGTTTTTTATTCTAAAAATCAAATAAAATAAAATAAGATTTCTTGCCTACACATAATATATTTTTCACCAGACAAATATACCTCCTTACCTAAGTCATTTGTTGGTCATAGAAGACCATATCGTCATAATAAACTGATAAATTTTGATGTAAAAATAAAGTTGAAATTTAGTATAAACTCTAAAGATTTGCATGTTACAATTGAAACTTAAAGGAACAAATAGAAGTTAAGTGCATACTTTAAAAGACGAGAGGATGTCCAATTTTACAAGCAATAGAATATAGTGAATTTAATTTTACACGAAGAGACATTTTTATTTTTTTGGTTGATTATGAAAAAGGTGAAAGTAAGAAAGAGCCGTACATAACACCGTGCCTGAAATTTAACTTTAAACATCTAAAACTCTTTGTCCCATAGCCAATCAGTTTCTCAATGCCCACAAGACTGTTAGAAGGGTGACTTCAATGTTCAAAATCTCTCTCTATCTCTCTCTCTCTCTCTCCATGCCCAAGTTGGAGCGGGGAATCCTTCACCACCTCCAGTTCAAAACTTGGGTTTATCCTAGGACCTTGGACAATTTGTGTGCCCTTCACTAGTTTTATAGGCTATGGCGGAGTCAACAAATTATGTTTGTATGGTCATTAATGATTAAAGATTAAAAACTTTAACAAGTTTTTAATTTTTTTCGTAGAATGAAAGTAATAAAATAATTTAATATTTTTACAAAAAAAGTGAGGCAATTTAAAATCATTTACAATTGACGCAATGAATTTTCTCACTATAAACATTCAAAATCAAGTACCTAATAGTATTCACAATTGATCAAAGATCAAAATTAGAATAATAAACAATACATTAAATTTGCAAGAAAAAGGAAGATAAATAAAGTCTTGAATA